CTCTCTCTCTCTCTATGGACCTCTCTAAATAACGTTTTTTAGTTCATTATTTCACATGTCTATTTACATGCGCTCTTGAAATTATTACATACATATATATTTATGTATGTATATACATTACTGCTGTGCGGTAGCACGTACCTGCAGGTTGTGGAGAGGGATGCGTTCTGTGTAGACGAACGCTATGAGGACGTATCCCGTAACCTCCCGGATGTGCTGCAGGAAGCTAAGGTCGCGGCTAGGGTCCTCGATGAAGGTGATCTCAAGGTTACCGTTGATGAACGTGCAATTCTCAAACTGCTTCCTCAGTGACCTGTAGTGTTCGTCGTCACTCGACTTCCGGGTCAACTTGAGGTTAGTTCCGGGACACACTGCACGAGAGAAAAACAAGGAACAGTTAGAATCGTCACAGAGTTATCGTAGAGGCTGCAAGACAAGAGCACATGTATAAATGGCACTTACGTATCATGGACAAATGAAAAGATATGTTGTATGTGTATGCATATTGTGTATTGCTTATTGTAAATTGTACAATATATTTTGTGAATTGTATATTGTATATTGTACAATGTATTTTATATATTACCTATTGTATACTATCTATTTTAAATTGTTATTTAGATATTGTATTTTTCCCATTCCTCTTATAGAACGTGGTAGTGTCTTTAAATTCCATAACGTAGTCGCTTGCGCATCACTCCACGCCAGTTTATGTCATAGTAAAGTTCAACAATAAAGATCACACGCAACAAGATAAGAAATCTAATTCCACATTACTTTACGTTTATGTCCTAATAATCGTCAACAAGGATGATTACAAGTAGCAAATCTGTCCCACGGTTGCAGTCTTAATTTACTTAATTGACTTTCCCATGGGAGCGTACCATTGGTCATTCAGTGTTTACACGACAGACTCTCGAAGTAGTATAGAATATATACTATATATTATGGAAATATGTACACATGCATATAGGTTATATTATGCTAACCTAAATATAGGTATGTATTTATTTATTTGGTTTAGTCCCACAATCACGACCACACCACGCATGCGCCAACCTTGCATGACCATAGCGTATATAGCATTAACTAATTATTCATAATTAAGCATATTTAATATTTAATAATTAATTAGCGTCGTATTAATCCAAGCGTGATAGATATATTATTAGTACATGTATGCATTTATTACAATATGTTGCTATTATGATGGTGCCCAGAGCGTCATACCAGGCTTAACGGACACTTGGAGCGGTCACCGACACACTACTCTACACTGGTCCTGTTACACATAGATTCACATCTGCGTCGTCACCACAATCACGCCCTGACCTCTCACCGCACCCCTCCCCCTGGAGGAAGAGGAGGAGGGGGCGGGGAGAGGGTCAGTACAATAGCCAACCCTTACCCACTCGCGCTGCCCCATTGTGGAGAGGCAGCAGCGTGGGGTCTAGGGGATGTGGGACAATGGTGACCAGAGCTTATATATATGATGTAAGAGCACATTATGAGTTCTTATCAAAGGAAGAGGGCTATCCCTATTAGTTAATACAGTATTAATAGGGCACAGCAGTCATCTTAGTATCTTAGATAAATGCACAAGTCGTTGAGTCGTACTAGTAGCCTAATCTCGTATTAATACTATAAGCCAGTGGCTCTAACAGCAACGAAATCCTCAAAATGAAAGCAGCATATTTCCTAAGGAATGTGAAAAAACACGGAGGGTCACTTCAAATAACTCCAAACTCTTTACTAATGGTAATAACCCACGACACTCATTACTTACTATCTTTGCCTGTTCCCCGCAATAGTGATGCATGGAAATACAGCAGAAGACACAACATGAGAACACGAACATAAATATATATATATATATATATATGTTAGGCAGACTTACACGCTGTTAACATAAGTGACATTGCCTAACGATCTCAACGATCAAAAGATTTATGTTAATGACAACATCAATAATTCCAATCAGCGATTCCAATAGTCACATCATTTTCACTATATAATCATCGTTGATAAAACCAGGGAAGTTATGAGCATATATTCTAACACCCAACAACGCAAAAAACGAAACATTTCAGCTACACGAAAAAAATGTCCTTTTGTGATTTTTGAACTATAATCATTGCGAGATTGCCAAGGAAAATCTATTCTGAAGAAATAGAAACAAAAATTTAACTGTCATGTGTGTCTTTCCTCGCAGAAAAGTTCAAAACCATCTCATTATATAACACACGTGTTGGAGCTTGGGCCGTTTAATTAACGATTATATACGTGAATGTGCTTACATGACTGATGGACGGAATTGTTGATCATTGTCACGGATCCGGCAACAATGTCCTTCCATTCTATCGTGTCGATGTAACACAGGTACGGATTGTCTATGAACGACACGTCTCCAGTAAGAATCTCTGCAACAATCAGACAAACAATCACATTGCTGTTAACAACAATTAACTTGCTAGAAATAACAATCAATTTACTGTAAAAAACAATAACAGCAAATGTGTTGTTGATAATAATCAACATGTTGTTAATGTTTTTATAGGGTTTTTACCATTTTTATCATTACTATATATTCTATATGTCAAAGGATAACTTGTAACATGCGCCATGACTACAACAAATGTGAGAACCATGACCATGTAGCAGTCTAATGTACTGACAATGATAACTATGATAACAACTAAAATGAAACATGAATCCACAAAAGTGAATACACATAAATATAAAAAATACAAATATGTAGATACATAAATGAATGAATGAATGAATAAATAAATAAATAAACAAGCACCTTAGGTAATGAATGGGTTTCATTATCAGCAAACTTATTGTAATATATTGACCTCACGATATTAACTCTACGATAAGATATTACGCCTACCTCCTAGCTTCTCGAATCCGATGGACTTGAGTCCGACTTCATGTTTGTTGTTGAAGTTTGCCTTGTCGTAGTTGAGCGCCACGTAGAGACTGTACTTCTCCTCCTCATCTCCCTGGTCAGGATGTCCGTAGAGAGACTGGCCTCGTATGACCTGGGTTACCCAAAGAAAAATCAATTTTTACAAAACAAAACAATGTTTAAATGTTAATATTTTGATAGCAATGTCTGTGCATAAACTGACTCTCTCTCTGATACCTTTATTATGCCACTGCCAGACTGGAGGGCACCACCAGCGGCATAACCCCCATAAGTTCCCCCTGCTTAGCACCCGACTGGGTCAGGTGCCCGACCCCCTGCCGGGCCCCTTGCTGAGTCAGGTGTCCAATATCCCTGCCGGCGCTCTCCCCGGGGTAGTCTCAGTGCGTCGGTAGCTTAGTAATGTTTTTCTTACGGCCGGCTGCAAAGTTTTCTCCGGGTTATCAAAATAATCCTCATCGAAATTTAAAAAGGGTTCTTGGAGTTTAGAGTTGCTGTGGGGTGTATGTATGTAGGTGGTGGGGTCGCTGCTGCGGGATCACAACTGCTGGGAGAAAATGCTGCCAGATGTTATACATAGCCCAGCATGTAAGCAACGGCCCCGAACAACGATATATTTTCGTTTCATTCCTTTGAAAAAGTCCGCGACGTAGTAAGGGCGGTAAATGGGAACAGAAGTATAACGGACTAACGTAAATATAACATCGGGAATGAATAATAATGGATCTATATTATTCACTCCTGATAGTATCCCCCTTGTGCGTTATAATTGAGTGGCCTGATTGAATCGACATTCGTAATGAAAGTGAATGTGTGGGGGATTATTTGAAGTAGTTTTTAATAATCTTACATACTACGAAGTTTATTCCGTTTATACATTCGTGCACAACTGGACAGTACAATAGCTCAGTTGTTAGAAAATATTGACATCTGTATATATTTGCGTGTGAGGGGGGAGGTCTGGATCGTCTCTATGGGATGTAGGTGTAGATGTGGATGGATAGAGGATCCAGGTACTGATGCAAACAGAGTGTGTGCGGTCCAGCGAACATCATCATACAATACGCGAGGCCACTACTAGTAATATGTAAACATATATACTATATTTGTACGACATATACTGTATATGATTATATTGTATAATGTATATTGTATATTGTAGTAGAATGTATACGTCTTACATATGTACTACAGTTGTAAGACATATATAGTGTATATATATATTGTATATTGTATTACTATATATTGTATATTGTAGTAGTATGTATCAAGAGATAACAGTACAGTAGTATAATATATAGGTATTATTAGCTCTTGATTGTAATACATGTATAGATATACATATATATGTAGAGACTCTAGTAATAAATATATACGTATAGTAGTATATACAACGCCGTAGTAATAAATATATACGTATAGTAGTATATACAGCGCCGTAGCAGTGTGTATTTTTTTTACACCTACTGTATATGTTTTTTCACGGGTTAGTGATTACAGCTCTATGATATGACAGGCCTGAGTCACTGCGTGTAATTGCACTAAGCAGGGTCATTACAAGACATCGCATATATACCCTGATCCACCTCTCTCTCTCTCTCTCTCTCTCTCTCTCTCTCTCTCTCTCTCTCTCTCTCTCTCT